GTCTCTGTGTTGCCCTGGGATGGACTGGTGACCTGTCCAGCCTGTAGACAGCTGAGATAGGCACCAGCACCCCTCTCAACCCCACTTGGGAATAAGCATGTCTGAAAATGGATGGATGGATTTGAAGACAGAATAAAATAACACACCGATTTATGTTTTGGAAAAAATTTAGACTATTTTACTCCCGTCGACTCATCATCTGGGTTTTAATTGTTAAAGAGGGCTTGCCCTAAACCAGTGGTGGAAGAATGATTCACCAGTAGTACTTGAGTAGAAGTGTTGATACTCATAGTGAAATCTTATTAATCTACAAGTAAAAGTTACTGGGTCAAGCATCTACTCAAGTTAAAGTATTGAAGTGCTCAGTAAGGTTACATTTTTTTAAGTTACAAACAAAAAAAATGTTATAATGGCAGTGCGTTTATGTATAATTTGCAGAGTAATTGTAACTTTCAGAAACCACAGGATGTATTGATGCGTAGGACCACTCTGCTACATATTCAGTGTAAAAATGCCACGCAAAATTACGACAGGTATTTTGATAATTATTTCTTATTTAAAAACATTCCAAAGTGAAAACAGGAGAGTCTTGATTCTCCTTAAACTTTCTCTATGGAATAGAGGTTTAAGGTTGAATCTATTACCACAAAGAAACCGCAACTCTGAGAAATCATATACTAAAAATCAAATGCTAAACTTTTTTTTTTTCCCCAGCTCTTTTACGTCATTACACTGTCACAAGTACAGAGCAACACATTGAACTATCAGCATTTAACCCATCCCCTTGGGGAGCAGTGGGCTGCCATTGTGCGGTGCCCAGGGAGCAGAGTGGGGTTAAGGGTCTTTTCTCAGAGACCCAGAGTGGCAGTATGTGGGAGTGGGACTCAAACTCAGAACCTCAGGATTACGAGCTCTATGCCCTAGGCCACACTGCCCTAAACGTGTCACCATGGCAACTACTATAAACTACAAGTTATATCTGCCCTGAGATTGTTACGTTTGTGGAATTTCATGCAAATCTCTGAAACAGTGGTGTCCAAATTCAGTCCTAAGGGCTTCTATCCTGCATGCTGAAATTGCATTTCAAAAACAGCAACAGCAGATTACAAAGCTAAGCTGAGCCAAACGTAACGAGTAACTACTAGCTCCTTCGAAATGTAGTGGAGGGAAAGTTATAAGTACGCCCCTGGGCATTAAAGGCCACACTAAGATTGAGGAGGATGAGGATGGAGAGGAGTCCAGAATCAGCAGCTGTGAGGAGATCATTTGGGATTTTTAATAGGGCGTTTTCACTACTATGCGAGGGGTGAAAACCACACTGGAAAGGCTCGTAAAGACTGTTGAGGGTAAGATAGGTATGATTTTAGCCCCAGAATGTTCCCAAGGCGCTGCACACTGCACTTTAACAGGATGGGTTGGCTGCAGAAATGACAGAGAGAGAGAAATGACACATAAATATGGTTATTTTTTTCAATATTAGATTTTTTGAGTTATAAAAATATAACAGTGTAATATATACACTCAGTAATAATAATAATTATTGTTATTGTTGTTATTATTATTTTATATATTTTCATCATCTCTTATCTATTGTCTGAACAGATACAGCTATTCTGGGACAGTTTACATAGAAACAGTGCCCAGGGCAGAATTGGAAAAGGGATGACTGCCATACAAAAAAGCTGGCTTTAATAGGAAACAAGACTTAAAACTGTTTCCGTTCTAAAAGCCCTTCACCCTCACACAGAAACACACTCCTGCTCAGAAACACTCAAACGCACCTCTGCTGGCAATCAAATAAACCACCAGCTCTTTTACAACAAGCCACACTTTAGAATGTCTACTTGTTCTACAAATGTTTGTAAGGTTAATATTTTGTGGCGTTTCTGTGTTGCTGCCATTTATTTTCTGAGAGGGTATATTTTATATTATTTTATGTTTGTGTGTTTTTAATGTCTTTAATTGTCTTTTTCCAATATGTTGAATTCAGAGTCAGCTGTTTTAACCAAATTTCCATATGGTGTCATAATGACAATAAAGATGAGCAAGATGTTAATCTTTCAGTTTTTAAGATATAAACAGCCCTATGAGAAATCCAAAGGAAGTATTTAGAGGTTTCATCATATCTACATATGCGTTTACATCCCCACAATTAATGAAAAGTTGGCTCCTCCTGGTGGTGGGTAGGGACACCTTCCCTGCTGCTGAGAACAGTCTGTTAATGTCTTTCCCTGTAGGGTGAAGTTTTATTTATTTATTTATTTATTAATTTTTATTGAACTCTTCTTTTAGCTGGAGTAACTGTAGGGTATATTTAGCTGCACCCAAGCATGACATGCAAGATACTCAGTTTTTCACAAACCTGCACCTTTTCAAGGTCCTATTTGTTATAAAAGAAGCAACCAAAAAGGAGAAAATAAAATGCTTATAAAGAACATTTCAAGGCAATAGGAATAGTTTTTAATAATAGAAACTGCATTCTGTATTTACCTTAGGTAAAGCAGGAGGTGGATCTTGGGAGTTGGTTAGGTTAGGGGTCTAGATAATCAGAAGAAGGGGGGGGGGGGGTTGATTGTGGAAAAATATATATATTATGATGACAAGTTGCGCAGAAAACAGGTCAGAGATGAAGTAGTGAAGAATCTAAAGCAGAGTTAAGTTATAGAAAAAGCAAAATGGTAGGAAAATACCACAGCTGCAAAACTGCCAACACTGAGAGGTCAGCAAAGGAGAAATTGCATCAGAGAGGAGGCCCCTGTTTTCTCTGGAGGAGCTGCAGATTATTTATTAAAGCTTGTGCAGTAGCTGCACTGTGACAGAATGTAATAAAATGTAAAGGAATACAAACAACCAGCAATATGAACACCCACACTGACAGTTATTGCGTAGTTCCTAAATTGGGCTACTGATCGGCGCACTCTCTCTGTGCAAACTCCCCAATCTACTGCCCTACAACACACCAACAGTACCTCCAGCCTCACTTTGTTTCATTTTGCTACATTCTTAATATCCATGAATGGAGATAAGGAATTCCCAAAGCCAAAAAAACACAAATGATGGTGATTATTTTACTCAATTTTTACTTAAATCTCAAACCCTAACACAGGGGTCTTCAACGTTTTCCAGGCCAAGGACCCCAAAGATTGGGCGGGGACCCCTAATTGTAGATATTGTATGAAATAGTGTTATAAAAAAAGTGGTCCTATAGTCACTCTATTACATATGGAGTAATGGAATTCAAGTAATTTCTCCCTGGGATTATTCTGATTCCTGGTTGATGGGACAGGTGTTGTGAATGAAATGGTGCTTAGCTTGAAAGAGCTCCTGTGTGTCGCTGAATGTGTGCATTGATGACTGAAATACATCTTCTGCCTCCATTTATCTGTTTACTACAGTGTGTTGAATTCATGTTAATGTGTATTTAAAGATATTTCAAACAGTAGAAAAAATTTCAGGGGGGAATATATATAAAAAAAAAAAATCAACTAATGAAGTTTTTTCTCACAGCCTGGGAATATCATTGTTTTTCAACACACTAAGAAAAAAGGGAAAGTTTAGGTAGCATCTATTTGGGAAACAGTTGTTTTTAAAATAAAATTATGAAAAACAATAAGGAAATAAATAAATAGGCTCAGCTTTTTTTAGGATTTGTTTTTGCAAGAAGTAAAAATGTATAATGTGGAGAAATCACAAAAAAAAAAAGTAGAACGAAAGCAATGAAGAGGCTGCCAGATTTAACCCTTTCATTGCCATGAGGAGCCACGCAGACAGCAGGATGAGCTGCTATGAGCATGCCCAGTGGTTATCTTCATTGCCTCAAAAACGAGATGAAAGTTATTTTTGTGGAGCCCTTCCAAACACTAAATCACTTGGATTTCATTGTATTACCTAAATATTATCAATACAGTATTATTATTTTACATTGTTCAAATTCTTTTAACCTTGCAGGGTGGTAAGTGCTGATTTCCAGCGACTACTGGGAAAAGATGGGGTTCAAGCCAGATAGGTCACCTGTCCATCACAGAGACACACAGGATAAATTAGACAAAACCCCCAACCTGATAACTAAGGGAAATATAGAGACCTCTTAGCCTAACAGTCATGTTTTTGGACTGTGGGTTTAGCTGGAGAGAAACCATATGTACCGGGAGAACATGAAGACTCCACACAGAGAGCCCAGACAGATTTTTAGATACATTAGTTCATTACTACGGTTTAAGTGTTTTAAAGCCTGAATGAGTCAAAGCGATGACCCTGGAGGAATCTCTGTTTTTGGTTGAAATCTTCATATTTATATGATTTACTGGTAGGACCGGTAGAGAATTAGAAAAATAAACACATCCAACAATCATTGCAATGCTAACTTTGTGTATTGAAATCATCAGAAAAAAAATTCAACTAAAGAACTGCAGTGAATCAAATTGTTTCAAACGTTTTCCAGCTTATAGTTGTAAAAACAAAATTTTACAAAATTGAATGCCCTGCTCCCTGTGCATTTGCATATAAAAAAAATGTTGAGCTTTACTTACATGAGCTTTGGAAATCAAGTAACCATCTTATGTCCTTATAAGGTCAGATAACTTCTGAATGAACATTCACTTGTGTGGTGTGTGCCTGCAGTTTATCCTTAGATGGTAATGAAGACAAAATTAGAGTCTTTTTTTCTTATGTTGCCGTTATCACATAAAGGCGGGGTTATAAAATACAAGCAGTTTATCTCATGTCATAAACAGTTTCATCATCAGTAATGTGTTGATAAAGCACATCCTCCCACATTGCTAAGAGGAGGAAGTAAACTAAAATTCATGGGGTCAACAGGATTTAAACCAGCAGTTAAATCAAAAGTTCAAGCTTTGTATTAAAGAGAAATTTGCTTATTTTGAAAATATGGTCTGGAAATATAAACAATTTCCTCAAATAATATTATTTTATATAATGCTATTAGGCTGCATGAATCAAACTGAACTTCACAATGTTTTTTTAATGATCACAGAAACATATTTACATGGTGTGAAGCTGTTTTAATCTTAAAATGACAAATTACACAACAAACAATCATTTTATATCACACCTTTATAGATCATGTAAAACTCTGCTCAAATAAAGTTAGTAAGTAACCATTTTGTTTCTTTGTTAAACAAGTCTTTGGATTTATATAGCTTCAGATGTTAACTTGACCACGTCTTGGAAATTCTCAGATGACTTAGATGATCGGTTATGTGCTTGTGCTCCGGAAAGTTGGCTAATCTGGCCTCCCTGATGTTACGCCAGTTCTGAGCCCTGCGCTCAGCGGCGTGGGATTGCTCCTGCTCCTTTGTCATGTATGGGCGGCTGAGCCAGTACTCGTTCTCAGCCTCACGCTCCAGATGCTTCACCATGCCGCTTTTCATCTGCCACGTTATCTTCCGCGGGCGACGGTACTTCCCGATCCACTGCTTTCCGGGAATACCTTTCCGCAGGAGGGCGAGGGTGAGGAACATGATCGTGAATTTAACCTAAAATGAAGAAGGGAGTAAAAAAAAAAAACCTTGATAAAGATACACTTTGCAAACCCTTAGACTCTTGATATTATGATTTGATTACAACTTTTAGTGTTTAAACAATTTTCCTTACTGTTTGTTATACAAAATCGCCTTTAGCGTTTTTAAAAAGATATGATACACAACTAGACTGCTTTATGGAGAAAAATATGGTTATTAAATCATGGGTATGCAGTCAAAATAGACAAAGCAATGTAAATAAAGGGATCAAACCTTGCATAATATAAATAAGGCACAAAAAAAACTCGCTTAAAAATTTAACGTAATGACGATATTTAAATAAGTTGTATTATTAAAAAAAAAATGCAGAATGAGATTCATAAATTTAACTAGCTATCCTTAGGATAAATGCAGTATTTTGTGCGGGTAGTGACATATTTGGAAACTGCTTTAGGTTTTATATTTAAGCTGAAGCTACAGTTAATTTAATCAGCCCCTCCAAGTAAATGAGCTTCAAAAATAACAGAGAACATAGTTGCAAATGTGATAGTTGGACAATTTTCTGGGGGGCAAGCAAGCAAAAAAAACTATTTATAAAAACAACTCTTAAATGATTGATATTTATGTGTAATTTTCTCAACATACGCTCTAGAGAAAGGCCAATACGTCAGCCAGATTATATTTTGGGACGATATTAGCAGTGTTTTTCTGTATCTGCCCAAACATGCAAGCATCCACCGATTTATTACGGCATCCAGCAGCAATCATGTGTAGCATTTGCACAGCTGCTCCCTTCATCTAAAATTTGTAGGTAATGTTGTGTTAGATTTGTTGATAACTATTTCATTTTTGCTTAAATTGAGACTTGGATGAAAACATGTTATCATTGTCATTTTTATCATGTAAATGTGGGAAATTTTGCAATACTGGCTCCAAAATATTGCAGCACATACTAGGGATCGGTTAGACTGATGTCAAAATAATTATCAGTTGTCTTTTTTTCTAATAATGAAATATATTAGTGCATATTAATTGTTTGTAAATTTTAGTTTAGTCCAAGTTTATTAATGCATTAAATCAACTGCTTTAAAACTGTTAATTTATCTTAAAATAAATAAACCCACTAATAAATAAATCAGTTTAACAATAGTTTGCCTAATGTTTAGTCATCACACATGTGAACAGCATCCAGTTCTACAGTGGCATATTATATCAATAACATTTTCCCCACACAAATGTCGTTGTTTGCGTTAGTCTCATTGACGTGTAATGTTTTTATTACATTATTTGGTATACTAAAAGCTGTGCTTCATACACTGAGTCTCAACCATGATTATTTTACAGCAGCAACACAGCTGCTTTAAAAAAAATCGACCTTATCTCTGCACGTTTAGTGGGGTTATTGTGGAAAAGGGCTTCAGATAAGGATAAACGTAACATGTAGACACCCCATAATTGTGACGGTTTTAAATTACAGATAAAAAACCAAGCTGGTGAACGAAACCTCGCTGTTTTATCATTCTAATTAAACTAATATAAGCTGAGTTAGCTTAGCCTGACGTTACAGACAAGGGCATCAAACGTAATGCGTTCTTTTCTATAATAAAAATATAACTGTAAGATACACCTGTGTTATTTGCCTACCTTATAAAACCGTTGAACACAATCAAATCGTCGACCTTGAGGTTAAAACACGTCCAAAATTAAATCAGAAAAGCTAACCGTGAGATGAGATTAGCAAGCGGATGGCGTCATATGTTTCACTTCCGGGGCAGGGAAGGTTAACCTGACAACAGTTGTCAGGTTAGTGGAAGGTGTCGTTGGTGACTTCTTCTTCTTCTTCTTCTTCTTCTCGAGTTTTATGGCGGTTGGCAACAAACTGTTAGTAGCATTACCGCCACTTACTGGTATGGAGTGTGGCTCGTGATGGTTTAAATATTTATCCTGATATATTCTACCCTAACTTCTTCTAAACATACATTCACACATTCACACTTAAAAATATAAACAAATTTGTGCACAGCTTTGTATATCATTCCTTCACTCACAAACACACTTACTATAATTAAATTCTATGGAATAATTTTGTTTTCTTTAGAAATCGAATAATTATTTGTATGTGTTTACTCCCTAAATTTTTCCTCAGTATATCTAATAAATTAACCTTCTCCTTAATGTCTTCAAACTCTCTTCTCATATATCTTCTCTCTCTTTCATATTTATGACATTCTAATATAACATGTTCTATGGTTTCATATTTATCACAGAAATCACATTTGCCCGTTTTATGTTTTTGTATTTTAAAAAGTGTATAATTAAGTCCTGTATGACCAAATCTTAACCTTGTTATCACTCTTTCCTCCTTTCTATTTCTTCTTCCATTTCTTCTTTCTCCTACCATCTTCTGAATTTTATAAAACCATCTTCCTGTTTTATCTTCATCCCACCTTTTTTGCCAAATTTCCATAAGTTTCTCTTTAATAATACTCTTTCCTTCTGATTTACTTATTTTAACTATAAAACTAATAGAATGTTTAATTGCCCTTTTTGCCATTTTATCTGCCCTCTCGTTTCCTTCTACCCCAATATGTGCTGGAACCCACACAAATGTAACTATCAGCCCCATGTTTCGTATTCTGAACAGTGTATGATTTATTTCTAATAAAATGTCCATCCTACTATCTGTTTGGTTATTTTTTAAACTTAACAATGCGGAGCTTGAATCTGAACAAATGACTGATTTTAACGGTTTTATATCTTCTACCCATTGTAATGCTAATAATATTGCCAACATTTCTCCTGTGTATACTGATAATCCATCTGTAATCCGTTTTCCTATTTTTATATTGAATTCTGGTACTACAAATGCTATTCCTAATTTCTCAGTCATTTTTGATGCATCGGTATAAATTTGAATATATTGATAATAACTGCCTAAATGTAACTGTACTAAATTGATATCTACCGTGTACGATTTATCTTGTTTCTTTTCCATTAGTGACATATCTACTGTTGCTTCTGGTAGAATCCAGGGAGGTATAATTGATATTGGTGTTGTTTGACTCATTTCTAAACTATTCATTTTAAATTTTTTAATTTTATTTTCAATTGTCCATCCAAAACTCCTCATTTCTTTCTTTTCTTTTTCCCAGCATGGATTTAAAATGTCCAAAGTTGGGTGATCCCCTTTATTTCCTTGTAAATTTAACCAGTAATTGATTTCTAATTTTGTTCTTCTTAAATCTAATGGCATTTCTCCCATTTCTATTTCTAATGCTGCTGTTGGTGTGGTTTTAAATGCTCCAGTACATAATCTTAGTGCCTGATGTTGGATAATGTCTAATTTGGTTAGATGTGTTTTAGCTGCTGAACCGTAAACTAAACAACCAAAGTCTATGTTGGATCTAATCATACTTGTGTAAATCTGTTTTAGTGATTTCCTATCTGCTCCCCAGTCACTGCCAGCCAAACATCTCAAAATATTCAAGATTTTCTTACATTTATCAACAACTTTTTGTATATGTATATGCCATTTTAATTTCTCATCAAACCATAATCCCAAAAATTTTATACACTTTACCTGCTCTAACTCTTGTTTATATAATTTTAATTTTATTTCCTTGTTTATTTTTTTCTGAGTAAATAACATTACTTTCGTTTTATCAACTGAGAATTTAAATCCCCATTGCAACGCCCATTTCTCTATTTCAATAATAACCTTTTGTAATTTTTTAACAATAAAATCAACATTTTTCCCTCGTTTCCAAACAGCTCCATCATCTGCAAATAGTGAACACCCTATATCTTTTTCAATATCTTTAAATACATCATTTATCATAATTGAGAATAATAGTGGACTTATAATACTCCCCTGTGGAGTTCCATTTTCTACTTTATATTTTCCTGAGGTAGTTTCTCCTATTCTAACTTGTATTTTCCTACCTGTTAAAAAGTCTTTAATCCATTTAAATATTCTCCCTTTAATACCAAACTTGTATAATTTAATTAATAATCCATCCACCCACATCATGTCATATGCCTTTTCTATATCAAAGAATATAGCCACTACACTTTCTTTATTTACTTGTGCTCTTCTAATTTCGTGCTCTAAACAGAGCGTTGGATCGTTAGTGCTCCTCCCTTTTCGAAAACCACTTTGATATTTTGATATATATCCTTTACTATTTAGATAATATACTAGTCTATTATTAATCATTTTTTCCATTATTTTACATAAATTAGACGTTAAGGCTATTGGTCTGTAGTTTTCTGGGTTTGAATGATCTTTTCCTGGTTTGGCTATCGGTATTATAATTGATTCCTTCCAGTTCAACGGTAATTTTCCCTCCTCCCAAATTTTATTATATAGTTGTAATATTATATCTTTAGATTTTTCACTAAGTTGCCCTATCATTCTATACCAGATTTGGTCTTTACCTGGTGCTGTGTTTTTTGTCTTTTTAAGTGCATTGTTCAATTCCGTTTTTGTAAACTCAACATTTAACAAATTATTTGTTTCTTCAACGCTCTGTATAAAATCTTTATATTTAATTTTTGTATTTTCTCTACCTTTTCTTCCATTTTCACTAATATTATTTGAACTATGAATTTTACTAAATGTTCTTGCCAATATTTCAACTTTATCTTCATCTCTTATTATGTTTTTATCATCTATTTTTAGAACAGGATAGTCAAACTCTCTTTTTATACCATTCATTATTTTGATTACCTTCCAAATTTTTTCAATTTTTATTTCTTTCCCTATCGTATTACAGAATTTTTTCCAATATTCTCTTTTTGCATACTTTATAGTTCTCCTTACTATTGCTTGTTTTCTTTTATAATCAATTAAATTTTTATAAATTGGATTATGTTTGAGTGTCTTAAATGCTTTATTTCTTAACTTTATTGCTTCTTTACACTCATTTGTCCACCATGGAACCATTTTCTTATCATTTTTACTCCCTGATTTCTTTATAGAATTATCTGCTGCTTCCATTATTATTTTACCAATTATTAAATTTAAATCATTTATATCCATACTCATGTCTACTTTTTCTAAGTTTATTTGACTCAAATATCTAAATTTAGTCCAGTCAGCCTTATTAAAATTATACTTTTTCCCAATTTTAATATTCCTATTATTTAAATTTAGCCCTACTCTTACTATTATGGGGTAATGATCGCTACCTATTGTAGATTTTTTATCAATAAACCAATCACAAATACCAGCTAAAACATTTGAGACAATTGTTAAATCAATAACTGATTCCATCCCCGTTCTTATATTGATTCTTGTTCCCTTTCCATCATTAATACATACTAGATTTTTCATTTCCATTATTTCTTCTATAACTTGTCCGTTTTTATCATTACATTTACCCCACACTGTACTATTTGCATTAAAATCTCCACACCAAATTACCTTCCCTTCCAAATATTCAGTTAACTCCTCCATTATTTCAATCGATAATGTTTTACATGGATTATAAAAATTTATTATTTTTAATTTACCTTCTTTTTCCCATATCTCAATTACTACATATTCTAGTTCTTTCCCTTTCCCCAATATCTGATATTGTATTCCTTTTTTGATAAATATTGCACATCCTCCTCCACTTCCCTCTGCTCGATCTCTTCTTACACTATCATATCCTTTGATCACAAAATCTAATGTTGTTTTTAACCATGTTTCCTGAACACAAACAATTTCCGGTTGTTCTTCCAGCTCATCAATATAACCTTTAAGTTCGTGTCCATTAGCGATTAAACTTCTAGCGTTCCATTGTAGTATTAACATGAACCGTTTTCACCCGAAGGTCCTGGTCTCCCATCTTCCTCCAACTTTTTATTTATGTTCTCCCATGATCCCTCTTTAAATCCCAAAAACTTTTCAGCTCCTCTCACTATTATTTTAATCTTCTCAGTTTTGTGTTTGGCTTGGTCAGTGCAGTTGACAACATAAGCTATGAATAATATTAGTTTTTCCACTGGAATTGTGGCTTTTTCTTCTGTCTGTACTTTGCTTTGTTGTGTAGTTTGTCTCACTGTTTGTTTAATCTCTCTTGTTTCCTGTTCCTTCACATTCTTAACTGCTTCTGCATAGCTTATGTTTTTAGTTGTTTTAATCTGTACGATTTCTTTTGCCCTTTTCCTTACTTCGCATCCTCCAAACGTGACTCTATGGTTCCCTCCACAGTTACAACATTTTTCTTGTTCTTCTTTACACTCTTCTAATTTGTGATCTTCTCCACATTTTGGGCATCTTTGCCTCCCTTTGCAGACTGCTGCTATGTGTCCATATCTTTGGCATTTGAAACACCGAAGTGGTGGAGGTACATATGGTCTGACCTGAAAATTGAGGTATCCTATTTTGATGTTTTTTGGCAGCTCTTCATCTTCAAATTCAATAAGGATTGACAAGCTTCCTACTCTTTCTCCATTCACTGTTTTTGATAATCTTTTCAAGTTGTTCACCTTTGCACCCACAACACTTCTCTTGATTTTATCAAGATCTTCATCAAGAGGGATCCCATAAATCACTCCTCTAATTTTTTTATTTTCTCCCATGATTTTTTTCTCCAGAACAGTTCTTTTGCAGATACTCTCCACATTTAAAGCCTTATTCTTTTGTTCTATATCTTTACATATCACCAATAGGTTTCCGTCTCTCAAAATCTTTACCATTTCAACATCTCCAATTTTCTTTTTTATTTCTCTTGATACCACAATGGGACTGATTTTATCCTTTTCTTCCTCATTTT